AAGACCAACAACCAACATTGTATTTTAGTGTGTCGTGAGTTTATGAAGATAAAGACTGTAAAGATGCACACAAAGTAGTTGCAATAATGAGCTTAAACTGCACATCATTTACAAGTAAAAAGATATTTATTAAAAAAGATTTCTAAAATAAGAGAAAATGTCTATCCACACGCACACTCTCTAAAGAACACAAGGGGAGGCTCTCAGCGTACTGAAACACCCATGTAAGACCATAACATCATCTGCTGAGATCATCAGCACACTTATACTGTGTTTTTTTAAAGGTGCTCATGGAGTTTTGGTAGAGAAATGTGAAAGTTGGAGAAATGTACAGATTCGGTGGTATGTGTTCATTACTCTATATGCTTCTATAGAAGTACAATGTGACAGAGCAAAGCAGAGAGATGATCACCAATGACCAAAGTGACTACAACAACAGCAAAGACAGGAAATGTGGAAAGCCTAAATAAGTGGGCGGGCAACAGGAGGTACCTGAGAAATTAGTTTAAAAAGACATTTAATGCAGATATGTTGAGATAAGAAGAACAAATATGTTTAAATATCTGAGTACTTTTCACATTGTGAATTAAGTCAAAGGTTTCCATGCAGTGGCTCATTTTTCTTCTGCTAATTAAAACGTGCAGTAGATCTGATCAAACTCGTAGCTCTCTCCTTCATCACTCGTATGACTATCATTACAAGCTCCAATGTTTTGTCAGTGGTTATAATGCCACTGATGGGACTCCAAAGCCCCCTGCAGTAACAGACGGGTGATGTCACTCTGGCTTAGTCCATTCATTCTTACAGGCTGTGGTTGCACACCAGAGAAAAATTAGATACATTGAAAACCAACATTTTAAACATCTAATCCACATTCTATATTTGACCTAGCCTCCAGTGACTCCGGTGACTCCATCGGTCCACCCCATGTTGAGCCTGGTGTATCTTGGATGATGGTGTTCAGTCCAGCCATCACGGTCCTCTCCACCTTCCTGTGCCTGACTTTTGTTTATCTCTGCAGTCAGAATGCAGGTAAATACACTACAATCACTTTTTACCTGTTAAGTATAGACATTATGAATCGACTTGAATACAAATGAATCATATTGATTGTGATGGATCATTGAATGAATGAAGTCGTTGTCTAACAAGAAACCTTTTATTTATGATTCTACAGATGAAAAAGATCAAATGACTGAGAGAAGACCTGACATGGGAGAGGAAAGTACAGTGAATCAGGTAAGGACTTTCTTTGGTATTTTCATGGTCTCAGAACCATTAGACATCTTTGCAGCAGTAGAGACTCTGTACTAATGACACTCATGTTACTGTGTCTGATTACCTTTCAGGATGAAGACGCATGTTTCACCAGAGTTGTGTTCTTGTGTGTCGATGGACGGAACAAATAGATTGGCTTTGTCTGAGCGGACATCACACAAGCTCCACTTCAAACTTCTCACAAAGTCTTTAGAGTCCGAGTTTAAAGACCTGTTATATTTGTACACAGTGATGATGCGTTTTGTGGGCGGAGTCAAAATGGTGTCAGAAAGTCAGCTAGTGGTGTTGAATTAACTGTTTGTTTGTTTGTTTTCTGGCTTCTTGCCTTCACTTGATAAGACGGTGTATAGAGTAGTAAACAGGAAAGAGAGAGGGGGGAATGACATGTGGTAATGGAACCACAGGCCGGACCTGAACCACCCGCCCAGAGGACCAGAGCTTCCAAACATTCGGGCAACCCAACCAGCAGGTCAGCTGTGGTCATGAATTAACAATTGGTTCTTCGGCAGATGTTCAGCAGAAGCAGCTTTTGAGGACCCTTGTTTACTATCACAATGACGTTAACCATCCTACTACGACGCTCGATGGCCGATTAGGATCCAATTTGTCAATGTCTTCAGAGACATAAACATCAACAAAACAGATATTTTCAACAAGTAAACAAGTATCATTATTATAGCAAAGATTACTTTGACACGACTAAAAGTGACAGCAAGAGTGCCAGGCTTAGAACTGTGCAACCCAATACATGGCCTTCCTGGGCACCCACAGTGCTGCACTTTCAGGAGGAAGACTCAGATTTCATTTTAACTAGTTCACCACAATGAATTAATTTTTTTAACATTAATCCCGTTTTAGTTTGCATACTGTTTCCAATTTATTCATCATGTGTAACTATGTTGTAACCATTACTAATGTACATGTATTCTTCCTTTATGTTCACCATCTATTTGTAATAAAGATTCACATTAAGCCAAGAACTTTGTTGGTTTGTTTCTGTTGAAAGGTCGAGCAGATCTAAGTAAGGCCGAACCCCCAAGGGACCCACACAGAAAAAAAGTGATAGGCTAAGATTGATGTCAAAAATCAACAAAAATTAATTCCAATTTATTCAGTGACAACCTTAAGTCGAGGTGTGGCTGACTAAGGCAGCCTGATGTTTTTCAGTGAGGAAACATGTATTTTTTACACAGTTTCAGTAAAATATGGTAAAATCTTCTGAAGGTTCAAAAGATTTGCAAATGTAGAAATACACCGCAAGAAAAGGTGGTCATTGTTGCTTTAAGTTAGGATGAACCCTGTTTGTGCAAGCCTCCATGGGTCCTTCCCATGCAATCTTTCCCCAGAAATATCTTAAATAGACCTGAGCTTGCATAGCACTTTTCTATTCTTCAGTCTACTCAAAGCACTTCTACACCGCAGACGAAGTAGCTGGAGCAACTTTGGCTTGAGTGTCTTGCTTAAGGACATATCAGACATGTTGCCCCAAGCTTTACTCTTTTCCCCCACCGTAGGGGCGGCCATAAATATTGAATCACACCATCAAATGCCATCATTTATATAGAGGAGAGAGTATATGCCTGAGCTGTGTATAAGGATACACATGTTCAGTTCAGGCTGCGTAGGTTTTATGTGCCATGAAACAAACATGTTTTAAATGTATAAGAACACAAAAATCCTACAAGTGGTTTTTCAGGCATTGTCTGAGAAGGCTTAAATGTTGTTTTTTATGGTCGGAAAATCTGTTGAAGATGAGTTGGTCATTTTTTGGACACCGACATACTGCAATCACAGTTTAAGTGTTGTTTGAACTCTTTCAACTTTCTTTTAGCCTCCACTATGTACTGATATGATCTTACGATGGGGGATTTCTCACAAACAGCGACCCATAAATCTATTCTTCTTTCATAATTTGAAGTAGCTGCACTGAGGGTGAATGTGATGGACACTTACACCTTGCACACAACCATGATATCACTTCACCCACACTCTTACTTTTTTCAGTTCCCCAACAAAATTGGAGTCATTCAACCAGACAGTTAAAACAGTTTGTTTTAGTGTAAAATTAAACAATAACTTCTGTTACTGTGCTAATCATTATTTCTCTGTCTTTCAGTAACATGACTAGTGGGTGGGGGCAGGACTTCCTGCTTCCTGAAGGCTCCTCTTTAGACCAGACCAAATGCTCTGATGTCATGGGGGAAGGGGGGGGGGGCTGCATTAGGTCGGTTCACTGAGTTCACACCTTAGCTTTTCTCATGTTCAGTAGAGTTATGTTCAGTTATAGTTTCACTTTTAAAGCTAAGAAATTTGGGGTTTGTACATTTTGTATTCATCTTTGAGTAAAATAAAAACTCCTGTTGTCTCTTGCCTAGCTTCTTGGTCCTTAACAGTCACATTAAATCAGTATAACTTTACATTTATCTTATAGAGAAACAAGCTGCTTGATCCTTTATAAACATGTTTGATCATAGCACTCTGCACTTTATTTGGCACTCTGCGATTGATTGAACTTGCTATTGAAATCCCAACATGTAATCATGTTATGTTTTAATGATGTATTTTAATTTGTTTTTTTTTATGGTTTTTGTTTTCATGTGCACTCCTGTATTATGATTTTGATGCCCTTTGTCACTAACATTGTGTTTTTATGCCGAAGCAACATTACAAAAAAAGGCAACACGTCTTCTGATTGAATTGTTGCCCTGACGATGACCTGAAAGACCAAAATGTCTCGTGGTTACTCCCATGAAAAAAGAAATTAAAAAAAATGTTCCACCAGGAGTTTACCTTTCAGGATGAAGACGCATGCTTCACCAGAGTTGTGTTCTTGGTTGCAGATGGACGGAACAAATAGATTGGCTTTGTCTGAGCGGACATCACACAAGCTCCACTTCAAACTTCTCACAAAGTCTTTAGCGTCCGAGTTTAAAGACCTGTTATATTTGTACACAGTGATGATGCGTTTTGTGGGCGGAGTCAAAATGGTGTCAGAAAGTCAGCTAGTGGTGTTGAATTAACTGTTTGTTTGTTTGTTTTCTGGCTTCTTGCCTTCACTTGATAAGACGGTGTATAGAGTAGTAAACAGGAAAGAGAGAGGGGGGAATGACATGTGGTAATGGAACCCAGACCCGTCCACCCAGAGGACCAGAGCTTTCTCACATTCGGGGCAACCCAACCAGCAGGTCAGCTGTGCTCATGAATTAACAATTAGTTCTTCGGCAGATGTTCAGCAGAAGCAGCTTTTGAAGACCCTTGTTTACTATCACAATGACGTTAATCATCCTACTACGACGCTCGATGGCCGATTATGATACAATTTGTCAATGTCTTCAGACACATTCACGTTGTTAGGGAAGAGTTTGTGGAGTCACAGAGTACATTTAAAGAAATGAATATTATTTTCACCATCTATTTGTAATAAATATTCAAATTAATCAAAGTACGTTGTTGGTGTATCTCTGTTAAAAGGTCAAGCAGATCTAAGAAAGGTTGAGCCCAACAGGAGCCACAAAAAAGTGATAAGATTGATGACAAAATTCAACAGAAATTCTAATTGATTCCATGAGAACCTTTATTCAAGGTTGTCATTTTTTACACAGTTTGGGTAAAATGTGGTCAAATCTAAGTTGGGCAACCTCAGAGCAGAAAGAGCCTTGCCTTCCACACGATACTGAGGCTCCTGTTGTTAAATCAATAAATTGTTAAATTGCCAATGTTCTTGTTCTTCAATTTTAATCCTCATGTAGCTTTTAGTTCATCTGTTTATCAAAATAAACCAAAAAACATCAATCCAAAACGAATAAGCTGTTTTTTCTATGTTTTTTCAAGTTTTTGAATTTTCATACTCAGCTCTGCTACTCATCCCACATTGCATGTTCCTTACAAATGTGGCACCATTTAAAAGGGAAATAAACAGTCTTTCCAAAGTTATAAGATTTATTGCCAAGAAGCATTGTTACAACAAAGAAATAAATCTACCAAACACAAACGTCCTTACTTTTTGTTCGATGTTTATGTCAACATTACAAATTCATTTTTTTTATTCCTCTGGTCTTAGGCCTGTTACATCCTAGATGTATTAAGAGCGGAATAGGTGCAGAAGTCAGAAGTCTGCGGTTCCTTCTTCTTCTTTGGTCTCTTTGATTTCTGACGGATTTCCACAGCAGCATAGCACACATCGTCATCCTAAGATTGAATATTTGTCATTTAGAAGCCCAACCTTGAACATATTTAATGCTTTGATACATTACACTTTAGTGATAGATACCTGGCTCTGTCTTGGATGACCTCTAGTGTCAGGTCTTTGCTGATCAACAGGATGTTCTTCAGCTGCAGGAATAAATATAACATCAGTACAGCACAATGAAACTCACACAGTGGAAGAGACATTAAGGTGTCTTTGTGATTAAAAACAATTAAGTGGATACATATTCTAGAAAAAGTGAGGTAGTTACCCTTCTTACAGCAGTGATAGACCACAAGTGAGGAGAGGAGAGCGGAGACAATAGATACAACTGGACACAGACAGAAGATCAGAATCCAGCACTCATTGGGGGGAGGAGTCTCATCTAAATGAAAGTTGTGTTGATTACGTTCCTTTAACTCTGATCTACAGAAAAATTCCTAAAAAGTTGGGACATGTAGAATCTAAAAAACATTGAATCCCCATATTTCAATGAAAATTGCTCAAAGACAACGTAAATTGTTGAAACTGTGATATTTTATTGTTTTTGGAAAATGAAATGCCCAGTTTGAATTTGATGCCAACAACATGATTCAAAAAAGTTAGGATGGTGTCAAGGAAAATTATGGGGACACGTCAGACAAAAGCACCAAATTTTTTCCACATAGTCTGCATCACAATAGCTTTCAATTTGCACTTTGCACTTCATCAAGTTGGCGGTTCTAATATGGCGGCCATGTAAAGTCTATAGGTGCCAATATGTCTTCCAAGCCACTTAGAAAGTCAATCTTGGTGTCAATATATACATTTTCTGGGTAGAGGAATGCATTAAAATATGTGGAAAAAATGTGGTGCTCTTGTCCGATGTGTCTCCAGTCTTCCCAAATCTGGTCCCAAGCTGCCTGACTAAAAGGCTGAAAAATAATCCCCAAAAAAGAACGAGGTTAACTGGCAACAAGTTTCCAGCTTGTCTCCTCCCGCCTCAACCAAAGCCAGCAAGAGGCTCTTTCTGCTGCCTGCCCCAACCTGCCAAGCAGCTGCCTTCCTCTCCCTTCCTTCCACACAGACCCCTGGAAGCCACTTACAGTATATAAGCCGAGTCCTGATAGGCTCAGGTGTAACCAGTTGAACTAATGTCCTTCCTGACTCCGCCTCCTGTCTACCAAGCCAGGAATCCAAACAAATGCGCCATGCGAGAAGGCGTCAACCATCCATAACTCAAGTAGTGTAGTCAATCAATCAATCAATCAATATTTATTTGTATAGCGTGTAGTGGAAAAATACCATCTGTCTGTTGCCTTCGTTTGACCTGAAAAGATTAGGATGATCGTGCATCATTTAGCAATTAGAAACTGTTTCTCTGTATGGCCTTGGTCTGTATCTCCAACAGGAACACTCCTCAGGATCTGGGTACAGCATGACCTTAGATCAGTGCCTTCCTGACAAAGTAGTTTCTGTTGATGTTCCTCCCTACCAGGTGCCTTATAGAAGCTTGCATAGATAAATCACCAGGCAAACTAGCAGAA